TACTCGCCGACTTGGGAGGGGGGCTACTGTTGGGCATGGGCTCCACCAATTGTCATCTTTGAAGCCCATTTCCAACAAGGCCCAGCTGACGGAATCGCCCACGAACTCGGCCCGGAAGACAGAAGCGCGACGAGCTCGGCCCTGAGGGAATGAGTCCGACGAGTTGGCCCCAGCAACAAARAATRCAAGCCCAAGGAAAGGCCRAGCCSAGCAACAAGCAGTTAGTGACCTCGGCTCGGGTCCCGAGGAAAACCTAGTACTAAATCTTTTCTATGTTTAGTATAAATAGGGGACTGAATCATGAGTTGAAAGGGGAGGATCTTTTGGAATAAAGAGAAATACAAGAGTACTTCAAAGAAAACAATCCTTCTCGAACACAATAAGAATTAATCTCTTAATCAAGCTCGATTGATTAATAACATAGTTTTCCATACTAACGATCCGACCTCAAATACCCTCGGCATCCAGCCCCGATCTCCGATTCAACYACCTCGACATCCAGTCTTGAAACCAARGATCTTGAGACGAACGATCTCACATCTTCCAAYRTCGARACACAGTCCTCTCTATCACATACAYTATCATTCGTAATTAACCTATTTCCGAGTTAGCATCAATTAACGGGAGTTTCCGATCTTTTACCGAATACAAATTTATTGTCGAACACTCGGATCAACAGATCTCTCAAGCATAAATGCTCTTGAATGTCATGTTTGATACTCTGGTTTTTTAAATGTTTAGAAGAACAAAGAGGAGAGAAGCAACAACAAAATGTATCAGAGTTGCTTATGTTTGGTTTCTGTCAGAGCCCTCTAGCACTGCAGCTACTTCCTTCATTTTTGGCCTTTCATTGAAGTTTTCTCTCTTAATACTGTTTGTAATGGCTTGTTGGTCCTTGTATAGCTTACTCGTGCTATGTTTTTAGCAATTCCAAACTCATGTGATTGGTATATGATGATTTTTTAGTTGTTTCGATTAGGAGATATTCAAGATTGAAACAAAGCGTTTGTATGTGCCATGTGGGAATATGGTGTGGCTGATGCAGCAATCAGAATGGTTTTTGGAACTTAGCCACCGTGTCGTTTTTTGGGATACGAAGCTACCAAAACGGCAGTAATCTGTTATTCTAACCTCGATGGAATTTAT